CTGCGCCGGCTGCCCTGCGCCGTGCTGCGGGCGCTGCTGGCGAGGCAATCCGCTGTAAATGCATCAACTATCGATTTTATTTTGTTCAGGTTTTAAATGTGTGATGATCTTACTAAGTGGTAAAAATCTACCCCGATTGGTATTGATGTATGAACATCAATTCAAAATATCATAAATTACTCCAGCCGACGCAAATTAAATTTCACGTCCAAATTATAACTCACTCTCGGGCGTTTAGAGAATTATCAGGTAGATAAATACCCAGAGCTGAGCCTTCGCCGCCTTTATTTCTTCCCGTTCCGATTTCCTGCAGGCAGCAGCCGGGAGGCGACGGGGAGGGGAGGGGGAGCCTGGTTATTTTAGGCCCCACAGTCTTGCCCAGCGCTTTATCTTCAGTGTTTGCCCCTTCCAGCCATCCCTAGGGGTTTCCCTACCTCCCAGATTACAGAAGCTCCGACAAATAGAGGAAAAATTGGTAGTTACATGGAAGCAGGATTGAGGTCTTGACACTTCCTGGGCTGTCTCTTGAAATGTAAGCAGAACTGCTAATTGCAAAGCTGACCTCTTCCAGCCTCCATCTTATTCATCCCATCTTCCTTCTCCTCTCTGTTCTCTTTTCCTTTGTCTGTCCCCCCTCGCTCCCCCTTATCACTGAATATTTATCTATTTGTCCATTTCTCTATTAGTTATTCTTCCAGGAGGTTTCCCTCCTGCCCCTCACCCTTACTGACATTTGAAAGGGCAGTGAAGAGATGTCAAAATATAGATACAATTCAAAGAGGAGATACAGCCCTTCTGCAGTCTGTCGGGATTTAAGGGTAGATTTCTTTCAGGTTCTTCGAAGGGGGAGTAGGGGAAAAAAAAGAAAAGAAAGCCAAAACCGATTCATCTAGTGCAGGAAAAAAGCCAGCATCGAGCTATTTGTTTTCTGAAACGCGTTTGCCTCAAGGCGGCTTGTCAGCGCCCCGCTGCCCTGCGCGGGGCTCGGCGCGCCGCGGGCCGCGCTGCAGGCCGCGAGCAGAGGCAGAAGCGCAGCCAAGAAACGTTTGGGGACGGGGCTTCCTCCGCGGGCATC